CTCTCCAGGGAGGGGGTGCCACGGCCTGGCCCCTTTTCCCCCCTCCCCACCCCACCCACCCCCCGGCCCATCCCGAAACCGGCGGCGCTTGCGTCAGGTATCGGGGGCGGCTCCCGGGGCGCGGCCGCGCCGGGCGGGCTCCGCTCCGGACTTTGCTCCCGGCTGAGCCGGCCGAGAGCGCGCCGGACCCTCCCCCGGGGGTGTCCCCCCCTCCCTCCCCTCCCTCCCCTCCCCTCCTCTCTGGGTGTCCCCTCTGAGCGTCCCCGCCGTGTCCCCCCAGCCCGGCGCCCCCGAGGGGAAGGGCGGCAAGGCCAGCATGCTGCGGGGCCGCAACTCGGGGGGCAGCGCGGCCGACGAGCAGCCCCACATCGGCAACTACCGGCTCCTCAAAACCATCGGCAAGGGCAACTTCGCCAAGGTCAAGCTGGCCCGCCACGTCCTCACCGGCAAGGAGGTGGGTGCCACCCCTGGGGGGGGCTGGGGGAGGCCTCAGTGTCACCCTGGGGTGGGGGGGGATGGTCCTTGTCCTGTGGGTGCCACCCGTGGGGTGGGGATGGTCCTTGTGATCTGTGTTGTGTGGGTGCCACCACGATGTGGGGACAGTTCTGGGTCCCAGTAATTGTCCTGTGGGTGCCACCACGGTGTGGGGACAGTTCTGGGTGCCAGTAATTGTCCTGTGGGGGCCACCACGGTGTGGGGACAGTTTTGGGTCCTGGTCCTTGTCCTGTGGGGGCCACCACGGTGTGGGGACAGTTTTGGGTCCTGGTCCTTGTCCTGTGGGTGCCACCACGGTGTGGGGACAGTTCTGGGTCCTGCTCCTCACCTTGGGAGTGTCCCCATGATGTGGGGACAGTCCTTGCCGTGGGAGTGTCACCGTGATGTGGGGACAGTTTTGGTTCCTGGTCCTTACCCTGGGAGTGCCAGGACAGGGATGGGCATCCCGAGCCCAGCAGTGACTGTCACTGTGGCGTGGGGACAGGTCCTGGTGCTTGTCCTGTGGGTGCCACCACGGTGTGGGGACGGTCCTTGTCCTGTGGGTGCCACCACGGTGTGGGGACAGTCCTTGTCCTGTGGGTGCCACCACAGCGGGGATGGGTTTGTGGCCCTCGTGCCGTGGGTGTCACCACAGGGACGGGCTTGTTGTCCCCATCCCGTGGGTGGCACTGTGGTGTGGGGTTGGTCCTTGTGCCACCACAGCAAGGGGACAGTCCTCGTGGTCCTCCTGTGGGTGCCACCACAGCGTGGGGACAGCTCCAGGTCCTGGCAGTGCCACCTGGCACAGGGATGAGCTTCCTGCTCCGTGGTGGTGACTGTCACCGCGGTGTGGGGACAGCTCTGGGTCCTGGCAGTGCCACCTGGCACAGGGACGGTCCCGAGCTCTCGGTCCTTGTCCTGTGAGTGCCACCCTGGCGTGGGGACAGCCCTTGTCCCGTGAGTGTCCCCGCAGGCTGGGGACGCGCTCCTGGCCCTTGTCCCACAGATGTCACCCGAGCCTGGGAACTGACCCCTGGTCCTTGCCCTGGGAGTGCCAGCAGGGCACAGGGACGGGTTCCTGATCCTCCCAGCGCAGGTGTCACCACGGGGTGGGGACAGCCCCGTCCTGCTGCCCCTCCCCAGTGCCACCCCAGCCTTGGGGACAGCCCTGGGGACCCCCTGACCCCCCCATCCCCCCTCGCAGGTCGCTGTGAAAATCATCGACAAGACGCAGCTCAACTCCTCCAGCCTGCAGAAGGTGAGGGGCTGGGGGGTCCCTGGGGCTGGGGGGGCAGCTGATTTTGGGGGGGGCTGTGCCCTCTGACCCCCCTCAAATGTCCCCCCCCGTCCCTGTTCCCGCAGCTCTTCCGGGAAGTGCGAATCATGAAGGTTCTGAACCACCCCAACATAGGTGAGACCCCCCTGCCCCAAACCCCCCCTCAGCCACACCCTGGGACTGCTGGGCCCCCCTCCCCCTCCCTGGGGGTGTCCCCCACCCTTGGGGGGGGTCCCAGGGGTGTCCCCCCCCCCTTTTCCAGCCCCTCTTTGTCCCCTTTGCAGTGAAGCTCTTCGAGGTGATCGAGACGGAGAAGACGCTTTACCTGGTCATGGAGTACGCCAGTGGGGGTGAGTGGGGGGCTTGGGGGGGGTCACAGGGGGCTGGGGGGGCTCTGGGGGGGCTGAGGGGGCTCTGGGGGGGCTGTGCTGCCTCTCACCCCCCTCCCTTCTCTGTGTCCCCCTCCCCAGGTGAGGTGTTCGATTACCTGGTGGCCCACGGGCGAATGAAGGAGAAGGAGGCCCGGGCCAAGTTCCGACAGGTCAGGGGGGGGTTTGGTGCTGTTTGGGGACCCCCCTGGTGTCC